AGTATATTTTCATAAAGGAAACTACTCACAAGGTTGCTGAAAACTCTTCGAAAGCCCACGATCGGTTTCGCACTTCTTGGGGTTTGTGTTGTAACTCTCAAAATGTGTAAACAAAAACTGCGGCAACAAACACTGATATAGGCTGGATTAACATTAGGCCTGTTCTTAACAAAATTAGATACTGGACTTTCATCTTCAAAATAAGATTATACAGACGGTATACGTTGCTAAAATTCCACTGTATCTATCTATGAGAATGCTTCTCTGGGCCTCCAAGCTTTTATTTGACTCTGTGAACACTCTCGTGTTGTGCACACCATGGAGAGTTGGAGACAAAACTGATGATTGATGTTGCCGCAAACATTTTTGCTCAAACATTTTTATTCAAACAACAATTTTTGAGGTTGCACAAAACCATGCCGATAAGATAGCTAGCTACTAAGTAGAAACGATTGTTTGAATCTTACTCAGAATAGTCACTAATTCGAAGGTTTGCCGAAAAGGAGCATTGATCAAAAGCGTTTTAACGCAGTGCACTAATTTTCACGTTGATGACCTTATACTCAAAAATGCCTCCTGACTCTGACAAAAAATGAAGGTATTCAGTCGACTTTATGCACAAAACAAAGTCCCCGTAAACAACAGAAGATTGGTTTGGACAGCCAAAGTCTTGATTGAGATGGTAGGACACACGTACGTTAGCGACCGCATTCATCCCTTCATTTGAAATCCCACCGTCACTCTGTTAAAATGGGGTTTCGAAGTTCTGGTGACAATAAGACATCTAGACGATTCAACCCAAAAAATATAAAGATATATCTAGTAATGAACAACCGGCAATATACAAACTTCAGGCAGGGTCCAATTTATTTATTCAGCGTTTACGAGGGAACACTTTGGCAGTCAGCGTAAGAGAATTCTCCTCAACACTGTTGCATCAACACTCCCCTTTCAGATTTAAATCTCAGGTAAACCGAAAATTGATTTCGAAAATCCAAAAGTAAGAGCCGCATTCACTCAAACATGCTATGTTTTAGCTCCTGTTTACTGTGAATTGGCCACCTAAAAGGAAATAACACTCGTTATACGCCGACTACATAAGGACACAAAGCAACTTCTTAGCTTGAAGTTCCATTGATTACTGAAAACTGTACGGTCACAGACAACTAGGTCACTATACTTCAGAGCAAACAATGTAGTAATGTGGGGGTGTCTACTCTGTCCAAAAGTATCTCGTATATGTACACCATTGCAATGACAACAGATCACTGAGGCCTCAATTGTTGACAATAAGAGGTCTTTTGATGTTCTCCAATGTGTTACGCATTCACTGAGCTCATATGGCTTTAGCCACATATTTTCTAATTAGAAAAAGATGCAGACACCTCATTTATCTATCAGTATGTGACCAAAACGGACATTTGTGCTACCCACGGAAGTAACTCAGAAAAACGACCAACCGTTATAAATAATGTCACCCTTACTTGCTCAATCTTAGAGTAGCTAAACAGCACTATAAATTCATTCATGATTTTGGTGATAACAAAGTGAACAGTAGTTGACTACACTCGAGCATAATAACGTTTTGTCTAAACACTTTTGTCCAACATTAATATTGTCCTAATATTTATGTATTCAGACGGTGACTTGCTACCGAAATTCGAGCAATTACGGGAGAAAATGCCCATTCACCAAATTACGAATGTCCTTCGCCACATCAGCCTTCTGATTTGTCTAATGAAATATCGAAATAGGTTGGAAAAAGGTTCGGCGTATGAGATTACAACGCTTGTAGTGGCAAATACCTCATCAAACATACTTTTGACGAGTCAGGTGTACACCGCCAAACAGTTATGTGTACCATCGTGATGTTGTTCAAGGCCAACATCTAGGAAGCGGGAAAAGTTGTCGGTTTCTCCTTCCGAAGTTAATTGAATGTCAGTGTGGGCCCTATTGAACTGTTGTTGGAGCAATTCCAATTCGGCTTTATTGTTAACAACGGCGAAGACGTCGTCTCCATATCGGCAGTAATACTAGCTAGCCTTTAAGGGACCATTTCTAAGTTTACTCATGAAAATGTCGGCTAGGATTGAGCCCAGTGGTGAGGCCACTTTGATAGGTAGCCAATTTCATCTCACTCGATTTCCTGTTCATTTACACCATACTCATTCAAATATGTTAAATACTGTCCTCTTAACCTTTGTAATGGTATGACGTGAAAAGACCTTGCCGAAATCATGTTCGTCAACCCATCTGTGCTGTGTTCTTAAATGGGAATTTTCGGAGTATACCTAAGTAGTATACTAACACGAATAGTTCACTTATTTATATAGGCATAGTATAAATAAAATAAATTTTTCCCCACGCACTTTTCAACAATCTCAAACCCAGAAACAGGCAACTAAAAGTCGGTAGATCTAAAGCCACTAGCCGATTTAATTTAATCTGTTATGACACATAATTCGAATTTCTACGCATGATATGAAGTCATGCTTCGTTTTTTCCTGATATTCGTCGGGCTAACAATAAAAGACGCCTGACTGTTATATGAGCACGTAGAAATGCAGGCACTTTACCGTACACACCCTGCTAGGTTCTCCAAATAGCGGTTGTGGTGGAGGCAAAGGACTTAGCAGGTCCCGTACCAGGAACAATGAAAATAGTTTTCGTTTCTCAGTTGAAGTAGCTTTCTTTTAGTAGCATAATATCAGTAAAATACAATGTGGCAAGGAAGATAACAAAATACGTGAGAACATGCTGGAGATAGAACGTGCTTTGTCAGAACCTTAGGTTTGGCGCAGGACACTACCTTATCTTACGGTCAGTTTCAAGGTGTTCATTATATATATGTATGTATATATATAATAAGAGATTTTGACATGCGGTTTAATCACCACAACAACATACGTTATTGGAGTGCATAAGGCACCAAAAGTTTACTACAACTGAGGTAATCGAACCACATTGTATATGCGTTATGCCGACTTTATGTGCAACACCCCTCAGAGCAGAAAGTTCGAGCTGTGTGGTTCAGAATATGCACTGGAAAATGAGAAGAGTTGTTCTTTTATTTAGACGTTTGCGCTGCTGTCTGTATTCAAGTAAGGGTGTAAACATTCTTCCCAAGATGGAGCATCCTCAGAATTAACTCGATCGTTTTCGGACACCTCAGTTGAGAAGGTGTCTCTTGGACTCATACCAATCCCATAAGACGTTACTATTGAAATTGGCGCATGGTTACCCCTTACTACGGTAGGCTCTAGTTAAACAATTTCTTCGTTCAGTTTGAAACGATTACTTTAAATTTTATCGACATTATACTTCGATAAAAGAACTTGTGTAACACGTTGTGGATCGTAGTGCAAAGATATAATAGATTCTGGGCAGAGAAAATGTTGGCTAAAAGCTATCTATTGGGTCTAATACCAGCAGCGAAACCTGCGCGAAGTAAAGCCGTTATTTTATCTCTTTCCGACGAAATTCCCCAGGTTCAAACTAAAAAATCACAAATACATAACTCACCAAGCCACAAAAATACGTTGCTCACGGCCGCACTTGTGAGTACACCATAGTTCATCATTTTGGTCAGAGGATTGGCAAGCTGAAGAAAGATGAAAAAGTTATTGCTTCAGTTTCTTCTATGCAACTGGCGGGGTCGGCGAGAATGCCTCTTAACCTTTGTAATGGTATGACGTGAAAAGACCTTGCCGAAATCATGTTCGTCAACCCATCTGTGTTCTTATTATAAATGGGAATTTTCGGAGTATACCTAAGTAGTATACTAACACGAATAGTTCACTTATTTATATAGGCATAGTATAAATAAATTCATCATTTCCCCACGCACTTTTCAACAATCTCAAACCCAGAAACAGGCAACTAAAAGTCGGTAGATCTAAAGCCACTAGCCGATTTAATTTAATCTGTTATGACACATAATTCGAATTTCTACGCATGATATGAAGTCATGCTTCGTTTTTTCCTGATATTCGTCGGGCTAACAATAAAAGACGCCTGACTGTTATATGAGCACGTAGAAATGCAGGCACTTTACCGTACACACCCTGCTAGGTTCTCCAAATAGCGGTTGTGGTGGAGGCAAAGGACTTAGCAGGTCCCGTACCAGGAACAATGAAAATAGTTTTCGTTTCTCAGTTGAAGTAGCTTTCTTTTAGTAGCATAATATCAGTAAAATACAATGTGGCAAGGAAGATAACAAAATACGTGAGAACATGCTGGAGATAGAACGTGCTTTGTCAGAACCTTAGGTTTGGCGCAGGACACTACCTTATCTTACGGTCAGTTTCAAGGTGTTCATTATATATATGTATGTATATATATAATAAGAGATTTTGACATGCGGTTTAATCACCACAACAACATACGTTATTGGAGTGCATAAGGCACCAAAAGTTTACTACAACTGAGGTAATCGAACCACATTGTATATGCGTTATGCCGACTTTATGTGCAACACCCCTCAGAGCAGAAAGTTCGAGCTGTGTGGTTCAGAATATGCACTGGAAAATGAGAAGAGTTGTTCTTTTATTTAGACGTTTGCGCTGCTGTCTGTATTCAAGTAAGGGTGTAAACATTCTTCCCAAGATGGAGCATCCTCAGAATTAACTCGATCGTTTTCGGACACCTCAGTTGAGAAGGTGTCTCTTGGACTCATACCAATCCCATAAGACGTTACTATTGAAATTGGCGCATGGTTACCCCTTACTACGGTAGGCTCTAGTTAAACAATTTCTTCGTTCAGTTTGAAACGATTACTTTAAATTTTATCGACATTATACTTCGATAAAAGAACTTGTGTAACACGTTGTGGATCGTAGTGCAAAGATATAATAGATTCTGGGCAGAGAAAATGTTGGCTAAAAGCTATCTATTGGGTCTAATACCAGCAGCGAAACCTGCGCGAAGTAAAGCCGTTATTTTATCTCTTTCCGACGAAATTCCCCAGGTTCAAACTAAAAAATCACAAATACATAACTCACCAAGCCACAAAAATACGTTGCTCACGGCCGCACTTGTGAGTACACCATAGTTCATCATTTTGGTCAGAGGATTGGCAAGCTGAAGAAAGATGAAAAAGTTATTGCTTCAGTTTCTTCTATGCAACTGGCGGGGTCGGCGAGAATGCGAATAAGCATGACATAACATGTTATCCACCATACATTTATTCATCAGTTCAAATATAGAATCAAAGTCTGTGATCAGAGTTGGATTTCCCTCACGGGTCCCACTCTTCTAAGGCACTTGACTCCATATCACGAAAGATCTGCTCCTAGCCAGTGTAGACATAACAGAGTGGTCATCGTGTGCGTATTTATCTCAAAATAACCGACCGATATCCAAACCGTATTTATCACCTGGAAACCAATCTGCGTAATAGCACTTGCTTTTGAAATTCGAATCTTAGTTCAAGTATGCAAGTTCTTGTAGCTAGTAATTCAGTCGTCAGTTAGCACAGAGTGTCAAACTCTTCGTGACAAATGACTTTTCATGACCATTTGAGCACCAAAAGCTGTACACAAGTCACACACTCAAATCACACTTTTGAGTTCCAACATCTGAGAGAATACTAAGAGATGTTGATGGCGCTTACAGCAGCAGGTAAATACAACACCTGTATTTTAGTTTCTTCCAGCGGGGACAAGCGTCTCATTGAAAGCCAATAGGTTATAATATTTGGGCAACTCTTGTTTGTATTTGTTTAAAAGAAAATGATACAATGGGTGGCGATACTCTGATGCTTATTATGGTGGTCTAGTTACAACAAACATATTGCTATATCAAGTCTAGAACCTTATAATGGAAAGCCAAAACAGACTGCACGATGAAACTTCAATTGTATTAATCTCCCACCACTCAAGTTGAAGCGTTTGAGCGAAGGAAGAAATGACTGGGGGAATAAAACAATATAGGTTTGTCGAGAAATACACTCATTTGCAAATCAATTTGGCTTTTACCAGAGACCCGAATGAACCTCTCGTTTGTGCTATTCTACAACTGAATGTGCTGCACACAGGCCGCCTCATGATTCAGTTGGCATGATAAATCAAGTAAATCAAGGTAAATCAAGGTTATATTGGTCTAAAAAGCACTTTGCTTTACAATGACCAAAGGATATTGGTGTGTGTGTATGTATACAGATAAACGGAATGATATGACATATATGTTCTATTGTTTGTAATCTGCATCTCAAATGTTGATGAGGGAAGTTGGGTGAGATCTTATGTATTCGTCAAGCGAATGTTTGAAGGTCTCGAGGTTACCACAATCCACAACAGATGTTGGTAGTTTGTTCCACGTGAGGGATACGCGGACTGAAAAAAAGTAGCGCCGACAGTTAATGCGGGAACATGGAATGTCAACGGCCAATGGATTCCGTCGGGTCAAGATTCAAGATATTCAAGATATCGCAGTATATTTTCATAAAGGAAACTACTCACAAGGTTGCTGAAAACTCTTCGAAAGCCCACGATCGGTTTCGCACTTCTTGGGGTTTGTGTTGTAACTCTCAAAATGTGTAAACAAAAACTGCGGCAACAAACACTGATATAGGCTGGATTAACATTAGGCCTGTTCTTAACAAAATTAGATACTGGACTTTCATCTTCAAAATAAGATTATACAGACGGTATACGTTGCTAAAATTCCACTGTATCTATCTATGAGAATGCTTCTCTGGGCCTCCAAGCTTTTATTTGACTCTGTGAACACTCTCGTGTTGTGCACACCATGGAGAGTTGGAGACAAAACTGATGATTGATGTTGCCGCAAACATTTTTGCTCAAACATTTTTATTCAAACAACAATTTTTGAGGTTGCACAAAACCATGCCGATAAGATAGCTAGCTACTAAGTAGAAACGATTGTTTGAATCTTACTCAGAATAGTCACTAATTCGAAGGTTTGCCGAAAAGGAGCATTGATCAAAAGCGTTTTAACGCAGTGCACTAATTTTCACGTTGATGACCTTATACTCAAAAATGCCTCCTGACTCTGACAAAAAATGAAGGTATTCAGTCGACTTTATGCACAAAACAAAGTCCCCGTAAACAACAGAAGATTGGTTTGGACAGCCAAAGTCTTGATTGAGATGGTAGGACACACGTACGTTAGCGACCGCATTCATCCCTTCATTTGAAATCCCACCGTCACTCTGTTAAAATGGGGTTTCGAAGTTCTGGTGACAATAAGACATCTAGACGATTCAACCCAAAAAATATAAAGATATATCTAGTAATGAACAACCGGCAATATACAAACTTCAGGCAGGGTCCAATTTATTTATTCAGCGTTTACGAGGGAACACTTTGGCAGTCAGCGTAAGAGAATTCTCCTCAACACTGTTGCATCAACACTCCCCTTTCAGATTTAAATCTCAGGTAAACCGAAAATTGATTTCGAAAATCCAAAAGTAAGAGCCGCATTCACTCAAACATGCTATGTTTTAGCTCCTGTTTACTGTGAATTGGCCACCTAAAAGGAAATAACACTCGTTATACGCCGACTACATAAGGACACAAAGCAACTTCTTAGCTTGAAGTTCCATTGATTACTGAAAACTGTACGGTCACAGACAACTAGGTCACTATACTTCAGAGCAAACAATGTAGTAATGTGGGGGTGTCTACTCTGTCCAAAAGTATCTCGTATATGTACACCATTGCAATGACAACAGATCACTGAGGCCTCAATTGTTGACAATAAGAGGTCTTTTGATGTTCTCCAATGTGTTACGCATTCACTGAGCTCATATGGCTTTAGCCACATATTTTCTAATTAGAAAAAGATGCAGACACCTCATTTATCTATCAGTATGTGACCAAAACGGACATTTGTGCTACCCACGGAAGTAACTCAGAAAAACGACCAACCGTTATAAATAATGTCACCCTTACTTGCTCAATCTTAGAGTAGCTAAACAGCACTATAAATTCATTCATGATTTTGGTGATAACAAAGTGAACAGTAGTTGACTACACTCGAGCATAATAACGTTTTGTCTAAACACTTTTGTCCAACATTAATATTGTCCTAATATTTATGTATTCAGACGGTGACTTGCTACCGAAATTCGAGCAATTACGGGAGAAAATGCCCATTCACCAAATTACGAATGTCCTTCGCCACATCAGCCTTCTGATTTGTCTAATGAAATATCGAAATAGGTTGGAAAAAGGTTCGGCGTATGAGATTACAACGCTTGTAGTGGCAAATACCTCATCAAACATACTTTTGACGAGTCAGGTGTACACCGCCAAACAGTTATCGACGCACGGAAATAATATTCAAAACCTCTACTCATCAAGACCGCTAGACAACGGTGTATGCACATTGCCATGCTAAGATAGGTAGTAGTTAAGTTTAACCTACTTGTGCATCTTGTTTCCATTTCTAACGCAGTCTGTCACTTTTTGGATAAGATAGCTGCCATCAGGATTTTCTTATAGTGGTGTGCTTATGGTACCACAACCAAGTAGATCTTGCGTAAAACTGGGGTGCTCTGGCGCCGTCATTAAAAAAAGACGAACCCGTCACTCCAATCCACGCTCAAACCAATCTCGAATTCGATTTTTAGTGCCACCCCTCTCCAAACAGCCTAATATTGATAACTTGTGAGTGTCAAGTTAGAAGCTCTGTGATACGTTTGCGCGCCTTCTTTCGACCAGCCAACAAAATAATTCAGTTCCTCATCCATGACTGCACACGCTTGGTTTTTCACATTTGTCAAGTCTTCCGTTTTGATCGCCATACATTATATGGTTATTTATTTGTCATAGACGTTATGTCTACATCCAAATATGGCATTGGTAAATGTGCATCCTTAAAAGCAGATGGATATTGTAGGACAGTAATACTAACGCACTACTCAATTCAGTTATTATATTTCGTTCTAGGGCGTCTTCCTACGTGACGGTCGTTAACAGATTTGATTTGCGTATGTTAAATGATCTGGTAGAAGCGGACCAGCTCGGCCGTCTTTATTTTCTTTCTTGGCATTTGCAAAATCGTTGATAATTGTTGAAGTATGTTGGTCGGAACGTATGTGTTGAAACTCCTGGTCATGTCCGCTATGGTTATGGTAATATACTGTTAATTAGAATGGAAGTTCTCCTAAAGTGGGATGGATGCCAGCTGTATCATGAAGTTTGCAACAAGAATGTAGCCACAGGGTACCAGTACGATCAGTAAACACAAATTTTACCGGTTTATTTATTCTGCCTGTGAATGGACATGGTAGGCTGAACATAAACACACAAGCACTACGGAAAACACCGGTGCAGCTGTTCACCACTCGTCGGACGGATTGGCCCTCCCACGTCAGGTTGATATTCTCGGGATATTAGTTAACCAAAATGACGTAGAAATACGAGTGCGGTGCATTTTGCAGCAGGAACTCCGATTACTGTAACCAAAATGCCTTACAGAAGGCGGATCACATCATGTACACATCGAAAAGTCGACAGTTTGCCATAATTAAAACCAACTTCATCTACTTAGCATTTCTTCATGAAAATTCAATTTGTCTATTACCACGGTTCTTTCGGATCAGTCAAGTCGCCCGTCGGCAGGTTCATCACAGTATGTTCAAGAAACCTCGCCTGAAGGGTCAACGCTAAATCTGGAAATAGAGCAATACTTGTTTTTCTTCTTATAAAGGAGAAATCAGCCCTTTTTGGGCGTTTGGATTAAAAAGCTTCATGACGAACATGCAGCACCTCATATCTCGCGATTTAATTGGAAATTTTCGAGGCTGTAATGAGCCGTTTTGGTTTTTATGTATTGATTACTGAACCAACCAGAACTTTGTAAGAACTTGCTAGGGAGTGAAAAAAATTAACTTCTACTTTCATACTGATCAGCATATTTTTTTAAATATTCTAATTCATAGACTTCAGCACCAATCTGAAGGCAACCGAAAAAATGATGGTGATCGCAAGACATTTCCAGATGATAAACACAACGATATGACCTGAATTAATGTACTTTTCGCATCTAACAAACAAGATTATTTACTAGTGCCAGTCGCCATTTGGCTATTAAGGACCCACCGGAGATTGTTT